TATATATTATATTATACTATATATATAGTATATATATATAATATATATATATATATATATATATATATATATATATATATATATATCCACTTATGTATAAATATATATACATATATTTATATATATACATATATATGTGTATGTATGTATGTATATATTTATATATATTATGTATGTATGTATGTATTTATTTATTTATGTATGTATGTGTTTATATATATATGTGTGTGTGCGTGTGTATTTGTGCATGTGTGCGTGTGTGTGTATGTATATATATATATATATATATATACTGCGCTGTTTCCGTTTGCGCTCAAATATTTCATGATAGTACGTTGTGCTGCCCCGTATTCTACTCAATAACCCGCATTGATATCTTCGCATCCTCCAATTGGCACTCACATCTTTGTCGTCATTTATTCCACTTGAACTCTGCAGTCGATCCATGTGTTGTGGAGATGCAGGCGCTGATCACGTGCATGGCTTCGAACGCCATGAACGATAAGCAATGCACCACAGAGACCGCCGCCTATCTTCACTGCAGCAGGCAGAAGGTATGCTTCAGGTCGATCTGGGCCTTTTAATATTAACTGCGCATGAGACTGTTCCCCCGCAGACTTTATGGCCTAGGTTTGACGAGTAGTGGCGCGTGTACTAGTGCGCATGTAAACACACCAGATTGAATAATTGTGCACGAGTTGAAGTGGAATGGTAGCTGTTTGCGCGTGCTATATATAGTCGTCCGGTGGGGGGGGGGAGTCAACAGAGGGAGTGTATGTGCGCTTCGTTTTGTGCATTGGGCTTTTTTTTGTGTGTGGGTTGTCGTTGAATGCATACGCATCTGTGAGTGCTTAAATCTGTAGTTCATATTTCTATGGCGTTGATATCTGCTGCATTCACGCCTCAACCCATGATCTGGTTCTCTGCTGAGTATCTGTGAAACGGCTCTCTAAGTCTCTGGTCACTTCCATTGCTGCTGCCTTCAATCGAAGACTATAAAGTATTCTTCAAGCCCCGCTTTCTGTTTGTTTTCTACTCGTCCTGGTGTGATAGTCTGCATAAGTTACAGTGATGCTTTAAGCTTGTGCAAACGCCCGCTTCAAGCACTTCTAGTGCACGCATAGTTTCACTGTTGGAGAATTTAGTATTAGTGCTAACAACTTATCTATCAGAAGCAATGTCTTCATTCTTCTGGTATCGATTCCCTGTGAGAACAATATAGTATCGGTGTCTGCAACGCATCTATCAGAAGCTAATGCCTTAACTCTACTAATATAATCTTGCTGTATTAAGAATGTAGTATCGGTTCTGACCATGTCTATTACAAGCTACAGACTTCACTCTCCTATTAACACTCCTAGTCACTGCAAGAAAAATGTAGTATTGATGCTACCAACTTATCTATCAGAAGCCAATGCCTTCACTCACTATAAGAAGAATGTATTATCGGTGCTGACCATTTGTCTATTAGAAGCTAATACTTTTGCCTCTCGATTGCTTCTGATGCAGAATGTCCGACCGCAGACTATCCGAGATCTCAACTACAAACTCCGTAAACTGAACACTCCCAAATAAAGTGTATCCGTATTTAGCCCACTTTTTTTTGTTCCATCACTATCTTTTCCCGTCCTCTATTTTTGTCGCATCTGTGGTGTCCCGGGGCGCTTATATGCTTGTCCTTCTCACTTTTCTACACGTTTTATAACTGAGTGGCTGCTTGTAAAGTATATGTTCGAACTCGGCCTGTTTTATAACTCATACATCAACGCACATGTCTCGTGCACATGCCTCTCGCATGCGCTATAACTGGGTAATGAGCTCAGGTGTATAATTCCAAGTTCACAATTGTATGAAGCAGTTTGTAAACGTATCAGGAGTCTGTACAGCCTAAAGAATCGAGGACGGTACCGATGAGATCAGAATTACTCTCAAGAATTCAGGGCTTGGAATTGGGGCGACGCAAACGTCAATTCAAGCAGCAAATGGCCTATAGATAGTTATGTGGGGAAGCGCACGTAGTCACTTAAGGGCAGCGGTACCACCAACAGTGACATCAGGAATAACGTTCAGCAGGAATCAATTGCCTTTCACATAGACCCGAAATACGACAAGATAGGCGGACTATTTGGCCCGTTGCACCATATGTGGTTTTCACAGTGAAATTCGTGCGTATTCAATCCACAGTACTATATATTTATCCATATCCGATAGTCTCACTGCACCGAAATCGTGGCAGTGCGCAAGATATGGAATACCCGACCTGTTTAGCGCGCTGGCACGTTTGTATAGTGTCACACTTGATAGAACCTCGTCGAGAACGACTTAGATGTAAGAACTGCGATGCAATACGCCTTCCGTGATATATTTTATCTACTCCTCAGGGATTCGTACAATGTGGTTGCAGTATCAAACGGCAAAACGTTCAGCCGTGTGCTCGAAAGTTGGAGATCCGTCGCTAACTCAGTCGTACACACTAGGTCGACTATCGATCTGGTAGCGTACCCAAAGGAGCAGCAGAAGCTACCCCATCATATCGCACGCTGTGGCTTCGCGTCTGCTGCTGTGCTTGTCTACGCTGTATGTATATATATAGGTGTATGTATATATTTATATATATATATATGAGTGTGTATGTGTTTAAGTATGTATGTATATATATATATATATTATTATATATATTTATATTGATTGGACGGTGACTGTTGCGTCCAACTATTAATAACAGTACCCTATTGATTGTACTTTAATACAGTTTATGGTCTAGCCTTGTTGTAGTAACTAACTCGTGGTATAGTGCAATGCTGTCACTTGTTTGTCTCCTGAAATTGACACAGCTAGGTACAACATACAACAAGACAAACACCGCTGTTATTAATTCGTGGAAGGTTATATCGCATGTGATTTCAGCTGATTTGCAGTGCTAGTCTTGTCATATGCTGTACCTGACTGTGTCCTTTCCAGTGCCCCCTTCTGCCAAGAGCGCTACTGGCAAGTGCCAAAATAAGTACCTTGATATTAAGTGCCCAGATGTCAAGGGTCCGGATCCCAAGCGTTCTAATGCCAAGTGCCCGAATGCTAGGTGCCTTGTTGCCAGGAGCCCTGCTGCCGTGTGCCGTAATGTCTAGTGCCCTGATGCCAAGAACTCTACTGCCGAATGCCGTAATGTCGAATGCCCTGATAACTAGTGCTCTTATATTAAGTGGCCAGATGCCAAGTACTTTTTTACCAAGTGCCCTGATGCCAAGTGCCCTGATGCCAAGAGACCTGATGCCATGTGCACGAATGTCAAGTGCCTTAATATCAAGTGGTGTATTGATACCAGGCGTGACGAGTGTCTTTTCTTGTGTCGTTCTTATCGGATGAAACAGTTTTTCCATCTCAGTGATAATCCCTTTTTGCAATACATCAGCGTAATGAGTTCGTGCTAGCAGCAGCTATCCTGTGGCACAAGTGACAAATTCGTAGTCTTGTCCGTATACTGTCGTGACTATTTGTTCCACTATTTCGAAGTAAACATGAGAACTATTTTGAACAGAAAGTGTACATTGCATATATGAACTGAGCTCTGTTTATTCGCCTGTAACCGTCTGTCACGGCACTGTGACATTTTCAAATGCCGCGATTTCTGATTTTCAGGCACGCTATAGTCGCTTATGCCTTTTAGAAGCTGCCTATCGCATAGCCAGAGTGGCTGATGTGTCATGCGATGCCCGACGTAAGATTATATATAACAGTCTTATACTAAAATCCTTACAATTTTGAGGGGTTGCTATCAGTTGGGTGTCCACTCCCTTGTAATCCCCGCCGTAAGATGCAACACAACAGGCGTTTATTGTAATTCGTACAGTCCGTTGGGTTTGCTATTAGTTGGGCGACTTCTCCATAGCAATGGCCGTCGTAACATCTAATACAACAGTGCTTCATTATAATTCGTATAGTCTGTTGGAATTAGTATCAGTTGGATGTCTTCTCCATAGCGATGCCAGACGTAAGATTCAATATACCAGTCCTTAATTATAATTCCAACAGTTCGCTGGGGTTGCTATCAGTTGCGTGCCTTCTTGCCCTAACAATGCCCGTCGTAAGGTTCAATACACAAGTAATTTGTTGTCATACCTACAGTCTGTTGAGGTCGCTTTCAGTTGAGTGTGTTCTTCTTAGCGATTGCCGTCGTAACGATCCAATGCAAAAGTCGTTCATTATAATTGCTACAGTCTTTTTGGGTGGCTATCAGTTGAGTGTCTTCTTGCCCTAGTGATACCCGTCGTAAGATTAAATACAAAAGTTATTTATCGTTCTTCATACAGTCTGTTGAGGTCGCTTTTAGTTGAGTGTGTCCTATTTAGAGATTGCCGTCGTAAGATCCAATACAAAAGTCGTTTATTATATTGCCTACAATTCGTTGGGGTTGGTATCAGTTGGGTGACTTCTTTCCCTAATGATGCCCGTCGTAAGATTCGATACAACAGTCCTATATTATACTTCCTGCAGTCTGTTAGGGTTGTTATCAATGATGTGACTCTTGCTAGCGATGACCTTCGTAGGATCAAATATACCAATTCTTTATTATAATTCCTACAGTTGTGTGGGGTCTCTATCATTTGAGCGGTTTCTTGCCTTAACGATGCCCGTCGTAAATTTCAATACAACAGTCGTTTATTATAATTACTACTGCCTGTTCGGTTCGCTACCCGTTAGTGTCATCTTTCTGGAGCTGCCTATCGTAAGGTTTAAAACAACTCTTTATTATTACAATTCCTACAGTCCGGTGGGCTTGCTTGCTATCAATTGAGTGTCTTCTGGCCCTAGTGCTGTCCGTCGTAGAATTCAATATAACAGAGCTTTATAATAATTGCGACAGTCTGTTGGGGTTTATATCAGCTGGGGGACTTCTTCCTAGCGATGCCCAACAATATAATCAATACAACAGTCCTCCGTTATGATTACTACAGCCACTTGGAGTTACTATCAGTTGGGTGTCTTCTCGCTATCGATGTCCGTCGTAAGAATCAATACAACAGTGCTATAGTATAATTTCTACAGTCTTTTTGGGTTGTTATTAGTTGAGTGCCTTCTTGCCCCAACGATGCTCATCAGAGGAGTCAATACAAAAGTCCTTTATTATAATTAATACAGCCTGTTGGGGTCGCTATCAGTTGTGTGTGTCCTTCTAAAAGATGCTCGTCGTAAAATTCAATACAACTATCTTTTAATGTAATTTCTACTGACTGTTAGGTTCGCTACCAGTTGGGTGTCTTCTAGCCCTAGCGGTGCCCGTCGTAAGAATCAATACAACAGTACTGAAGAATAATTCGTACAGTCTTTTTGCGTTGCTATTAAATGAGTGTCTTCTTTCCCTAACGATGTCCGTCATAAGATTCAATACAAAAATCATTTATTGTCATACCTACAGTTTATTGAGGTCGCTATCGGTCAGGTGTGTTCTTCCTAGAGATGCCCGCCGTAAGACTTAATGACAACAGTCATTTTTTATGATTGCTAAAGACTCTTCGGGTTGCTATCCGTTGAATGTCTTCTTGCCCTAGCTGTGCCTGTCGTAAGAATCAATACAAAAGTCCTTTACTATAATTCCTACAGGCTGTCGGGGTTGCAATCAGTTGGGTGTCTGCCTAGAAAATCCCGACGTAAGATTCGATATAATAGTCCCTTATTGTATTTCCTACAGTTTTTGGAGGTTGCTATCAGTTAGGTGTCTTCTCCCTAGCAATCTCCGTCGTAAGATCCAATACAACAGTAGTTTATTATGTTTCGTACAGTAATTTGAGATTGCTATCAGTTGAGCGTAATCTTCTTAGCGATGACCTTCGTAAGATGCAATACAACAGGCGTTCATTATAATGCCTACAGTCCGTTGGGTTTGCTATCAGTTGGGTGTCTTCTCCATATCGATGGCCATCGTAACATTCAATACAACAGTGCTTTGTTTCCTACAGTCTGTTGGGATTAGTATCAGTTGGGTGTCTTCTCCATAGCGATGCCCGACGTAATATTCAATATACCAGTCCTTATTAATAATTCCCAACGTTTTCTGGGGTTGCTATCAGTTGACTGTCGTCTTGCCCTAATGTTGCCCGTCGTAAGATTCCATACAAAAGTCATTTATTGTCATACCTACAGTCTGTTGAGGTCGTTTTCAGTTGAGTGTGTTCTTCTTAGCGATTGCCGTCGTAAGATCGAATGCAAAAGCCGTTCATTATAGTGCCTACAGTCCGTTGGGGTTAGTATCAGTTGAGTGTCTCCTTGCCCTATTAATGCACGTCGTAATATTAAATACAACAGTCTTATGTTATAATTTCTAAGTCTGTTAGGGTTGCTATCAGTTGTGTGACTTCTTCCTGGCGGTGCCCGTCTTAGGATCCAATATACCAATTCTTTATTATAATTCGTACGGTTTTATGGAGTTGCTGTCATTCGAGTGTCTTCATGCTCTAACGATGCCCGTCGTAAGATATAATACAACAGTACATTATTACAATTCCTACAGTCTGTTAGGCTTGCTATCAGTTGAGTGTCTTCTGGCCCTAACGCTGCCCGTCGTAGGATTCAATATAACAGAGCTTTATTGTAATTGCAACAGTCTGTTGAGGTTTCTATTAGCTGGGGGATTTCTTCCTGGCGATGCCCGACGAAATATTCAATACAACAGTTCTCCATTAAGATTTCTACAGCCTCTTGGAGTTGCTATCAGTTGAATGTCTTCTCCCTATCAATGTCCATCGTAATAATCAATACAACAGTATTATAGTATAATTCCTAAAGTCTTTTTGGGTTGCTATTCGTTGAGTGTCACGATGTCCGTCGGAAGATTCAATACAAAAGTCCTTTGCTATATTTGCTGCAGTCTGTTGAGGCTGCAACCAGTTGGATGTCTTCTTCCTAGCGATGGCCATGTTAAGATTCGATGCAACAGTCGTTTATTTTAATTCCTACAGTCTGTTGGGTCATTATTAGTTGGGGTCTTCTTCCTATAGGTCGGTGACGTAAGATTTAATACAACAGTCTTCTATTATATGTCCTACAGTATGTTTGTATTGGTATTAGTTGAGTACCTTTTTGCCCTAGCGGTACTCATTGTAAGATTCAATACAACAGTACTTTATTATAATTCCTACAGTTTGACGAGGTTGCTATCAGTTGTGGTTCTTATTCCTAGCAATTCCCGTCGTAAGATTCAATATAGCAGTCCTTTATTATAATTCCTGTAGTTTTTTGGGATTGCTATCAATTGAGTGATACTTGCCATAACGATGCTCGTCGTAAGATTCAATACAACAGTCGTATATTATAATTGATACAGTCTGTTGGGGTTTCTATCAGCTGGGTGATTGCTGCCAAGCGATGCCCGACGTAGGATTCAATACAACAGTCCCATATAATTTCTACAGCCTGGTATGGTTGCAATCAGTTGGGCGCCTTCTCCCTCCACAGAAAAGTCCTGTATTATAATTTCTACAGTCTGTTGGGGTTGCTATCAGTTGAGTGTCTTCTTCTGAACGATGACCGTCGTAGGTCCAATACAACAGTCGTTTTTTATAGTTCCTACGGTCTGTTGAGGTTTCTATCGGTTGGGTGACTTCCTAGTGATAACCATCGTAGAATTCAATACAGTAGTCATTTATTAAATTTCTTACAGTCCTTTGGGGTTACTATCAATTGTGTGTCGTTTTAGCCAGGCCCGTCTTGAAATTAAATACAATAGTGGTTTACAATAATTCTTTCAATCCGTTGGGGTTGCTATCGGTTGGGTGCCTATTTCATAGCGTCGGCCGTCGTAAGATTCAATACAACTGTCTTTTATTATAATTCCTACATTCCGTTGGGGTTGCTATCAGTTGAGTGTCTTCTTGCCTTGTCAATGACCGTTGTAAGATTCGATACAACATTCGTTTTTATATTTCCTACAGTCTGTTGATGTTACTATCAGTTGGGCGACTTCTTCTTAGCGATGCCCGTCGTAGGTTCAATACGACAGTCGTTTATTATTGTTTCTTACAGTCTGTTGGGCTGCTATCAGTTGGGGTCGCTATCAGTTGGGGTTGCTATCAGTTGGGGTTGCTATCAGTTGGGGTTGCTATCAGTTGGGTGACTTCTTCCTGGCAATGCCCGTCGTAAGATTCAATTCGACAGTCGGTTAATATAATTTTTACGGTCTGTTCGGCTGCTATCAGTTGGGTGTCTTTTCTGGCGATGCCCGTCGTAAGTTCAGTACTACTGCCGTTTGTTTCATTTCCTATAGTCTGTTGAGGTTGTTGTCAACAATTGGAGGTCTACTTACTAGCGGTGCCCGTCGTAAGATATACAACAGTCCTTTATTATATCATTCCTACTGTGTGTTGGGGTTGTTATCAGTTGGGTGTTTTCTTCCTAGAGAAACCTGTCGTAAGCTACAAAACAACTGCCGTTTAGTATATTTGCTATAGTCTGCTGGGGTTGTTGTCAGTTGGGTGTCTTCTATTAAATACAACTGTCGTTTATTATAATCCTTACAGTCCGTTCGGGCTGCTATCAGTTGGATATCATTTCCCTAGCGACCAGGAGGCAAAACTAAAGACTTTTTTTAGCTGTCAAATGAAAACGGCGTGTAGGAGGGTGTTGGATGTCAGGGACATCCTACACTCTCGTAGAGAATACCTACGGAACCCCGAAGGGACAGGACGGGTCCCTGGAGCCCGGGGAGGGACCCCACCCCCCTCTCTATATGATACGGAGCATACATACCTACGGTGACATAGACATGCCCCTAGCCCTAGAAATGATGCCCGTCGTAACATTCAATACAACAGTAGTTTATTAAAATTCCTACAGTCTGTTTGGGGTCGCTATCAGTTGGGTGTCTTCGTCTTAGCGATGGCCGTCGTACGATTCGATACAACAGTTTAGTATAATTCTTACAGTCCGTTGGGGTTGCTATCAGTTGGTAGTCGCCTTCCTATAGAATTGCTCTCACGTCCTGGTTTGCATTTTGTTGATTAGATTCCGATAGTTGGTCTGCAAGGAGAGAGCATAATCGTCTTAAGCAAAATAACAAACACGGTATTAAAATGGTACAAAAATCGTCACACACTGATGTTCCAATGAGTTGGCGCACACATTGATTTGTATTAGCGCATCAACATACAAAGTGCGATAGGGAGAAAAGAATGTTTTGACACAACCTAACGAATCTGGAAAATGCATTGGGGATGCCTCCTTGGTATGTATACAGCGTTTGACACACACTAAGAAATCTACATGATGCATTGGGGGGTGAGGGTGAGGGGGGAGGGCGTCGTTAGTATGCAAACATCATTGACGCGTATGGTTGCATTGAAACGTGTTATTCAAATAGCGAGTATTCCAGAAGTGTACAAAATTCATACAACTTGCGTATTTAACCATGCACAACATTCCGTGGTAAGGCGTCGAGAATTGCTGAGGAGGGCTTATACTATGAAGCGGATGAGAGTACACACCATATGCACTGAAGCTAAACCCTAAAGTCTAAAACCCTAAAGCCCAAATGTATGGAAGTAGTACGAGGTATCAGGGATGAGCAACGGAACTTCAACTAATTCATGGGAACAATAGAGCCACCGATGAAGCCAAGTACATATGATCGACTGAAACTGTGCGTATGGTGTACAGTTACCAGGTGGTCGGTCACCGAATGGGTTTAACTCTCCGCAAAATAGGTGCGATACGCGGGCATGCTGCTGTACGACGTAAGGGTCATCACACTACACCCACAGCACACGTATATATATAATGTTCCTATCCTCACTTGTCCACACTTCCCAGTAAACACACCTCGGTCTGTTCGTATGACATCTGCAGTAGCTTAAGCCGCTCGGCCTTGTCCTCTATCTCGGCTAAGTCGTCCTTAAATAGCCCGTGCAGTCTCCTCTTGACCTTGATTCGGTATTGTTTGTACTGTGCGGCATCGCTACGGTCTAACTTCGACAGCAGAAACGTCTCTGTGGCCAGCGTTAATGGATCCTACAACCACACATACACAGACACCGAATTGTAAGAATCGACTAGAACAAGCATATCTTGTAAGTTTGTTGTGTTGGAGCGCATATTAGCGCGATGTAGAATGTGGTATATAAAATAGAAGCAGTGAGTTGTGTTGGAGAACGCCTTAGCATGATGTGGGTTGTGGCAAACGAGTAACTGTCCTTATGATCATATCTGTGGACAAAGATATAGAAAGCGATACTACGCTGATAGACAATGTAAGAGAAGTCGTATGCAATACCTTGTGGCTTCATTAGCACTGAAGCTCAGTACACCGACCACCAACAGCATCTCTTAGCCGAATACGTATCCAACATCCTCTGCGTTGATACGTTTTCAACGTGCTCTACCTACGTATAGTCGTGCATATCTGCCTGCCAATATACGTATTCATACACATACATACCACTACCTACATAGATTCTGCATTCTCTACACATGAGATTTAAGTATATGTGCAACACACACAGCACGTGGCACATACTTTGGATACTTTGTACTTCTGAGCAATGGCCTTGAGCGCTCTCTCTTCCACGTTGCCATCTGCGTCCAGCGGCGCGGAATTAAGCGCAGCCCAACACAATCGCGTGGCAACCGCCTCCACCAACAAACTGAAGTTAGCGGATGGATCCTCCACTGGCGGGGACAAACAGGAATGCACGTGTGCGCACAGATGAGCGTATAGGTCAGCATGAGCATGGTAATATGTGTGGTACTACGTACGTATATTACTACGCATATGTGATACTACGTACGTGTGTCACTACGTAGGCATGCCCAGTGCAATGGGTGTGCGTGGGATTGTATTGGTGTGAGCTGCCTGTGGATGCGTGGCTGTGCGCCTCCGTCACTGCATTGCATCTAGCTTGGCTAGAGTGATATGTTGCAGGATTTTCGTACCCAGCCTGTAGACAGCACGCTAAAGCTGCATGAGGATATGAATAAATATGCAGATGGGTCTGTGGCGCAAGTCCATAAGTCTCACTCACACAGGGTAGGCCTCACTTCCAAATACCCATAAATTAAAAACATGGCCAAAGCAATCCCTGAGATCGTCCACCAAATAGAGCACTCAAGAGACTCTGTGTGTCCCTGACAAATGCTCGACCGAAGACGCATATTAGAACCATAGCGTCACAGCGCATTGCCGTATATTTACGCCGCATTGCCGTATATTTACGCCGTATTGCCGTATACTTACGCCGCATTGCCGTATGTTGACGCCGCATTGCCGTATATTTACGCCGCATTGCCGTATATTTACGCCGCATTGCCGTATATTTACGCCGTGTTATCAGATTGTCGAATAGCAATTCTAGGTATGCAACGATGCCGTGTCACACTGCTGTTGCTGAAACCGTCACAACGCAGGACCACAAAGTATGTCACCACGTGACACCCACGCGATTACAATCAGTGGCGCTAATAGTATCAATGGCACATGCAGAAGAATTATACCATGTAGTAGTATATATACATAATTGAAGAACTAACCAACACAGACATACTCACTACAACAATATGGGCTACAGATGCATACATACACTGACACTTTATGATTTATCTGTCAGTGCACGACCACGATCACGGGGGTTACCTGTGATGTCTCTGATGTTATCCACACCCTCGTGATCTGCGTATATGGCCGTCAGTAGAGCATCTACGAGATAAAAGATTTATTCATTCGGGTACAAGGATAAAATTGTGTGTGTAGCTCATAGGCTCTCAGTGACGGGCGTGTGAGTGAGTGCGTTTTAAGGCTTAGATTGGTATTTAGTGCATGATGGTTAAAAACATCGACTTGTGGTTGGTAAAGGACTCTGTTCATACGCAGAGTTTAGTAGTCAGTTGAAAATCGACTATGCATCACCAACTAGCAAGCACTAGTTTCAGTCAAAATGAGTGCGTGTCTACCCCAAGTATGAACGTATCAATCGAATCACACACACACGCTGAGAAGAATAATAAAAACATTCATCTGTTTGTACATGCCCATCTTCACAGTATCACCCCATACAACTTGCTACTATCCCTTGTTTCGTATGTGACCATAACGATATATGTATTTTTCAATATCTTCATATATAGCTATGTATGCATATATTCCTAGATTTTTATATACTTGTATATATAAATATATATCAGAATATACAATACACACACACAGACACACATATATATATTTACATGTTTAATATA